CTTTGCATTGTTACGGAGCAGCAAACCCAGCGAGTCACCGCGGCTGTCGGACCTTCTTTTCACGATCTTGGAATTTTCTTTTATTGCAGGATGGTTTGGGTCTTGCTGGGAGTCCAATAAATTTTCTTGCAGCACCGTGAGCAACACTCATCACGGTTCCCCCCGACTTGCCACCGAAAGACGTCCACACTGCAAGATTTTCCTTCCTTGGCCGAGAACCACCGAACCAGTAAGCTTCACACCGCCAATCCACGGAGACAACAACGTCGAAGGAGAAGTCAAAGAGGGAGCCAAGTGGTGGAAGTTGATTGAAGGACTTTGACTACTCTTCAAAGGAAGAGCACGTTCTGCGCACTAAAGGAGGATTCTAAAAGGGCACATCTCCACTACAAAGCCATACCCCCAGCTTGCGGCCAGTCTTGCACGACGTTGTTATTCCTGCTGTTTCGAGCGCCCACGCCATTGTCGCCGTCCCGACGTGAGCCGCCCGCTACCGCCGCTGGTCCACTGCCGTCGGCCACCATACGTTCCGCAATCCCGATCCGCCGGTGATTCAAACTTGGAAATATCCACAAATTAGGTAAGATTCTCATATATATTCTTAGAATATTCAATTTCCTAGTCTTTCGGGTGTTTGAATATTTCGTGAATAGTGCGTGGATTGCTAGATATCTTAGGATAATATTTGCGATATCCGCAATATTCGAAAACACCCAAAATTAGGAATCATTCCTAATTTGGCAACGTATCTGGACGACTATTCGACCTTATCCCTAAGGTACGATACGCGGCGATACGGAAAATCGTTATCTTGTCCATAATCACTTGGATACGATAATAGATTTAATTTGCTTTCCAAATTTAAACAATCAACTTTCTGTCGATATCTATAACCCTATAGATATGACCGTTAGTTTGATTTCTTTGCCTTATCTGAATTTGAAGAATCTTGCGGATTGCGTTGATTGTTTGAATGTGATTGGTATCTTTGTTTGATTGTTTTCCTTTTAAATAAAGAAAATCTAAAAATTTGTTAGTTAGATTTAAATTAGAGATTTTGCATGCTTAGGGAATCTTAAATATATCCAAAAGAATAAGATAATTATTTGATTTAAATTGGGATTTAGGGTAGCATATTTCCTAGTTTAAATTAGAAATTGTTTTAATCTTAGTGGATTATTTAGGATATTTAATAATTTCGAATTTTAATAAAAATCCCAAAAAAAAAAGAATCACTTTAGGATAGATCAAACCATTTTCTCTAGGATAGATTGCATGTTAACTTGAGTAATTTTTAATTCCGAATTTCATTTGAAAATACCAAAAATAAATCATTTGTCCGTCATTAGAATTAGGTCACGTTGTCGCATGACATATAGTTTGCATGTTAGGCTGCATTAATCGCATGTTAATTTTTGCACGTCATTACATATAGGTTAGTTTTCATTTAAATAAGTGAAAATCCTAAAAAATATTGAGTGAACTGCTTGTTAATTAGAAATCATATTAGAATTGTTGATGTGATTTTCTAGCTAACAATGCAGATGCTTACGTTGCTTCGAGGTAAGTAATTCTCCCAATCTTGCAATTTATTTAATGTTTTGATTATTGGGTGTTACTTTGGTGGTTTGCACACCCGCATGATCACCTCACATGCTAGTGACTAAGTTAAAATGGATCCAGACTGCCTGCACAAATGTTTTTGAAAAGAAAAGGTACCGAAAGGGCGTTAGACTAGATCTAGCGTAATCAAGTCCCCGAGCTTAGAATCTCTGGTTCGTAGGAATAAAACATATCTCCCTGTGTTTTATTTAGGTTTCTAATCGACCTACCACAAATAGATTAGTGGCGACTCCAAGCATGAAAACTTTCGCATGTTAAAAACTTAAACCCTAAGTTGCGAATTGGTAGGGCTTGGGAGGGCCCGAGTTAGGCTTAGTCTTAACAATCCATTAGCCTGAGAGAAATTTTAGGTCGCGACAAGCGGTCCAGGTAGAAGGGGTTTGAAGGTAATGTCGAGTTGAGAACCAATAGTTTCAATCGACATAGGCTCTCCTAAATCCTTACCTCACATGACGTTGGAAGATTCATTTTAATTTGATTTAACTTATGAGGATCCTACGTGAGGAAGAGTCATCACTAGCTTATTGGGGTCAGGTAGACATTAAGTGAGGCACGGGAGGATATCTTATTCCTACTCAACTAGAAATCTATGGTCGGGGACTTGATTACATTACTTGTCTAACTAGTGTCCTTTAGGTACTGTGATTTGATTACTTGTCAACTAAAATGTCATACAGTCTTTTGACCAGATTATGAATCGTAAGGTTTTCGTCGGTTAAGTTTTCATGCAATGTTTTTGAGTTGATTATGGTGCTAGTGCTCTAGCCTAACCATTCAACTAAACTAAAAGCACACAATTAAAGAATGACATGCTGTGAGCGCACATAAAAAATAGAAATGACATCCTCGGTGGAGGCCATACTCGTGGAGATGGCCGAGCTCAAGGCAAAGCTTGTCGAGTGGAAGCAACATGCGTGAACGATGTGATTACTGTGCATTCCGATTTGTGAGTGGACGCCCCGAAGCCAAAAGAGTTCAAGGGCTTGTGGGAGGCCAAGGATGTGGACAACTTCCTGTTGTACATGGAACAGTACTTCCAAGCAACAGGAGTGACCGATGGTGCAGTTCGGGTAAGTACCACGGCTATGTATTTGATTGAAAATGCCCTATTGTGGTAGCGTCGTAGGAGTGATGATAAGAGCGGTGAACCTATCACTACCTAGGAATTCATCGAGGAGTTCTGACCACAATCCTATTCCGCCTATGAGAAAGAGGAAGCTCGAGATGAACTCCTTCGCTTAGAGCAAAATGGAGGAGCCCGTGAACATATGAAGAAGTTATCGGAATTGCTACTCCAGATCCCTTCCAGGAATGATACGGAGGCTTACTTCCAGTTCATGGGTGGCCTCAAACCATGGGTGAAACAAGAGCTGAAGTGGTGCAATGCAAAGGAGCTCTCTATGGCCATGTCCGTGGGCGAGACCTTTGTGGAATACAAGGGAACTTCCGGAAACAACCCGGACTCTTGATTGAGGGATAAGGTCACTGGTGGGGGAGATCGTAACAAGTTCCACCGCCTAAGTGGAAGCAAACCACCAGCGGCCCCTCGGAAGGTGAAGGTAGAGTCGAGCGGTGGAGACCACAAGAAGGGACATTTCTCTTTCAAGTGTTTCCCGTCCGATGGTGCGCAAATGACTCATGATTGCCTGACGTGAGACAAGCTTGTGGCATTTGTCAAGGCTCACAAGGAGGAGCATGAGAAGACGCAACTAGGTTCATTGTGGATCCTAAGTTTGATCAAGTCCAAGAAAGTGAACAAGCCCAATGGACTCATGTCTGCGGACGTGACAATCAATGATACCATGATGAGTGCACTTATGGATACCGGTGCATCCAACCTCTTCATCTCAGAGGAGGCCATGAAGAAACTCGACCTTTGGATTGAGAAATGCACCGGTGGTTCAAATTTCTTTTGGGTTTTGAAAATTTCGTAGCCCACCCTTAGGTGAAATCGCCACGTCATGGGGGCCAACGACAACTTGACTCTGCAGTGCCTTGTATTATTGGTGTTTTTTGAAAATATACTATGCATGCATCAGTCAAATTCAAATAATCGACTGATCTAGTCCATTAATCGAACACTCAAATGATAAAAAGAACAAAGCAGGATGAATCGTGTCCATACAGCAAACACAATCTACAGGCCTAAGGTATAGCGAACTAAATTCTGAATCGATGCAACGGGAATGCACACGATCCAACATACAAATTGATGATTCTAAATCAAACAGGGGGGACGAATCCAGTTCAACGTGCAAGCATGCAATACACCTTGTGCATGCAAACAGCGTGGGAGTGCAAAATTATAAAGGGGGAACGAATCCAATCCCATCAAAGCATCATGCAATTAAATGACAAGAATCCAAAGCTCCTTTCCCTGCAGAAAAGTTTAACCGACGATGACTTCTTCATCCGACAACCGATGGACCTGATTTTAATGGCGTTGGAATGCTTGCAATTTCTAGTTTCATGATACAAGATCGAAATCGGGAAGTAAATCACAGACTTCCCAATCAATCTCGAAGGTTTAAAAATTGAGGGGCAATATGAGAATTAAAAGACCGGTTTTGACAAGAAAAATCCATCTTTTTGAATTTGAATTTGCGTTTTGTGTCTCGTATCTCGTTGGTCGAATCTCGATTACCTTTTGAGTAACCCTTGGGAGGTCAAGTATAAAATTTTTCGAAAGCGGGAGGAAAATTTGAGTTGTCAACAAGTATGAAAGCTTTAGGCATTTTGGCACTTTATATATGAATTACGATAAAATGTACTTATTTATGTTCCGGAATCCAACCTTGATGGATTTACCGAATGAATCTTTAAACGAGCATATTTTGAAAAGTCAAATCTTGATTTTTCAGGATTTTATCGACATAACAGTCTTTGAGTTACTGTTATGATAATGGTACGTTTTAAATCATAAATTCTTGAAAGAGTGAATCCCTAATAATTTTCAATTATTGTTATTTATTTTTTTGATGGCCCAAAATAGACTGTTGTTGCGACAATCAATTAAGGAGGTAAGCATTTCTCGTATTGTCCAACGTCAAAACTCCAAGCGGAGATTTTTAGGGAGGCCGACGAAAGTGATGCGCCAATCAAAGGGCACCACCGGTCCACTCCCGGCCACCGGAACCACCCCCCACCCCCGCGGGGTTCGATCCTCTCCGACGATGGCGCGCCACGTGTCCCCCAAATCCCACGTGGTAATTTCGAAGCCACAAACCAACCAACCAAATCGAGAAATCTCCCACCACACCACGTTATCCACATTCCACCCCCGTCCTCTCTCCGCCACAAAACCGGAATTAACAGCACCAAATTCACGGTCAACGGCGCTCTCTCTTTCCCTTCCTCTGTAAGCTGACGGTCAAACCAAAACCAGTGTGCGTCATTCAGTTCTGCTACTGCAACTCTCTCTCTCTCTCTCTCTCTCTAATGTTTCTCTGTTCAGTCTTCTCTCTCCTCCTCAACTGAGGCCTCTCTCTCTCTCTCTCTCTCTCTCTGCAACTCGACAATGGCCTTCGCTCAGCTCGTTTCTTATTCCTCTTCCTCGCCCTCGCCCTCTCTCTCTCCCAAGCCCACCCTCGCTCCCGCTCCCGCTCCCCCGGTCGCCGCCGCTCCCACAGCCAGCTGCTACTACTCCTTCTCCTCCTCCTCCAAGCCCCTCGCCCCCCCGCCTCCCCTCCGCCGGCGGCGACGGCGGGGGAGCCCCGGCCCGGCCCGCTGCTCCGCCTCCTCCTCCCCGGAGTGGCGCCACGCGGGGTCCCCGTCCTCCGACGACGCCGTGGAGCTCCCCCTGTTCCCGCTCCCGCTCGTCCTCTTCCCCGGCGCGATCCTCCCCCTCCAAATCTTCGAGTTCCGGTACCGGATCATGATGCACACGCTCCTCCAGACCGACCTCCGGTTCGGCGTCATCTACACCGACTCCGTCTCCGGCATCACCTCCGTCGGCTGCGTCGGGGAGATCGTCAAGCACGAGCGCCTCGTCGACGACCGGTTCTTCCTCATCTGCAAGGGCCAGGAGCGGTTCCGGGTCACCGGGATCGTCCGCAACAAGCCCTACCTCGTCGCGCAGGTCACGTGGCTCGAGGACCGGCCCTCCGCGGACGGGGCCGACGACCTGGAGTCGCTGGCCGGTGAGGTGGAGGCCTACATGAAGGACGTCATCCGGATCTCCAACCGGCTGAGCGGGAAGCCCGAGAAGGAGGTCCCGGACCTGAGGCGGAACCTGTTCCCGACGCCCTTCTCGTTCTTCGTCGGGAGCACGTTCGAGGGTGCGCCGAGGGAGCAGCAGGCGCTGCTCGAGCTGGAGGACACCGCCACGAGGCTGAAGAGAGAGAAGGAGACGTTGCGGAACACGCTCAATTACTTGACCGCCGCCTCCGCCGTCAAGGACGTGTTCCCGTCGTCGTGATCGAATCGAGTGAGGACCGGGGAAGACTGATCACTTACTGAAGAAGCAGAAGCGAAGAACAAAGCTAAGTGTTCTTTTGCCAACGCCCTGGACTTTGTTGGTAAGTAAATCACGCGGGAAGGAAAACCCTCAGTAAGATGTAAATTTTTTTTTGTGATTTTGTAAATGATTCGAGCTTAATATTATCCATCAAGGCGTCCATAGTTCATGGTTTACACTGGTAAAATAACGGCGTGGATTGTATGAGCCACTAGAACACAGAACAAACATTCGATTAGTCAATCTTGTAGTCCTGCATGGTGTATGAATAAGTAGAATTTCACATGCAAGCAACGATTCCTGGGAATTATGTTTTCGAGGTCCATTTTAAAGGCAAGTGAAATTGTCTCAAAGCTGATCATTCTGATATGGCTGCTAAACAACTCTTATCCGTATGCTTAGTCTTTCTTGTCCTTTCTAGTTTGCCTGAATCTATCTTCCCTCCATCTCAATGGAGTTCATAACTTCAGCTTAAGGCAGACAAGGGAGCTTCAGGGAATTCCAGTTCGTAAAAAAAACTACCTGCATCGATGACATTCTTGCTAATTTTGCTGGGGACAAGAGAAGCAACTTCTTGCACCAGTGTTCAGCAGCCTTACATATGGTTTTTGCCACAAACCCTTTGCATCATCGCTGTGAAGTTCTACAGGGGCAAGCATGCACTGCATTGAGTCCTATTTCCCTCTAATATCAGATGTTCATTTCTTGCTAACATCTATCACATCATTGAGACTCGAGCGACCTGGTCTGTCTACAGAACTCTCATTGCACAGCACAATCACAAGAAACGTCGAAGAGCACTTTTGTCCTCTCTTCCTCTCTAAGAAACAACTGATTCTGTATAATAGATACACACAGCAAAGTTTCAAAAGATGCAAACGCAGTTTCTGTCCTCCTGAAGACCGCCGCACAGCCTAGTAAAGGAATGGAGAATCCTTTAGCTTTGTTCAGATCATACAAACTTGCATGCCAAACTATCTTCTATCATCCGACAAACTTTACGAAAGGTAAATGTTAACCAAAAACCCCGTTCTGAAGCAACACCAAACCACCCCCCCAAAGGATGAAATAAATCATGCTCTGTCGTAGAGTTTTGACTCAATGCAGAATTCTTGTATTGCCGCATATATAATGCTTACTCTGTATTGTTACTTGAGAAACAAAAATTCAGATGCTTTCCTTTTTGAGCTTTTTTGTCAATCACATGTCTTCCCCGATCCTTGAATCTGCTTTGCTTTAGTAGTTGGGAGTTCTTCAAATCCATACACACCTAAAACCTCCTGAAATGACGGCACCTTGGACACATTGAGAAATATAAAAAATCAATCTGGCACGTTATCAACCAATTCAAAAAAATTGTGAGGTCCTCTGAACTGTAGCCCTCTTTTTAGCTAGACATCTACTATTCCTCTTTACGTACATACGTGTATGCAACTTTGAGGAGAATGTGTAATACTTTGTTGAGACTACAAAATCCAACCCTCTACTATAGATTGCCAACTGCTTTGCTTCCTTAAAGAACCTCTTTTTCTGAGGGCTTCTGTTTCAGTAAGATTTCCAGAATGCTGCAAAATATCCGAAAAGTTCATTAGCCCAGCCTAAGATGTTTTAAGACAACTCACGACAGACAGAAGAAGCATTAGTCAAAAGAGGAAAGAAACCACTGTTATAAGAACAGTATAACCAATATATCTCCCTCGCATCAGAATGAACTACATACTGCCGAGAAGAATTTTCCCCAAAATGTTTAGTGGAAGGCCAATAAGAGGGGATCGGAATGACAATTTTTGGTTACAGCACAAATACGAGATAACCCACTGCATAAATACACGTCATTCTTTGCTACACTAAATCATGTTAACTGCTACAAAATCATCAGACAATTATGGGATCACATTGCCTTGGAAACTAAGAACTTGGTCTGTTATTCAAACTCATCAAGCTTAACAACTCCGGTAAGAGAAAGAAAAGTGGGTCGCATACCTTGAGGCATTGGTTGCTTGTTGTATCGCATACAGGATAATCTTGTGGGCAGCAATAATGATGATCCTTACAACATACAGCAGAATCGAGCCCACAACAATTCCAGGAAAGGCATATTCCGATAAAGCGAGACTTGCAACAGCAAGTTTTGCCCTCAGAACAATACGTGAAAAGATCACACCTTGTAGGACCTGGTGCCGGCGAGGGAGGAGGGTTTGGACTGGTCTTAGTTGGATAAGAAGGTAGCATATTGATGCCACATAAGCCTTCAGCATTTCCACTATTACGTTGCATATAAACATAACCATCCATTCCCCACCTTGATCCCCATGAGTTCTTCACAATCCAATAATCAACTCCATTTTGCGATCCATACCCTACTATCAATACAGCATGATCCAGAGAAGTTGAACATGGACCCGTGAAAACCCCCTACAAAGAATTCATACATCAAGACCACGGCCAACAAAAATCTAGTTAAGGTATTTTTGGTGGGAAGTGCACTTGGAAGTTTGACACCAACCTTTGAGTACAACTGAAATGCTCTCTCGCCTCCAGAAATACCCACACTTACTGGCTGATTAGCCACAGCTTGTAGCAGCATTTTCTCATTGTTTGCAGGCACATCAACATATCCATCAATTGTCACAATATGTCTCCTTAGCTATTGCATTAGCAAGAAAAATGTTTCAGAAACAAACAAAAGAATTGAATCTGCTAATTAAACCTAAGCTTGGACATTAGCAAAATGATGTCGCCAACAAGAAAACAACAGGTATATTAATCCATATCCATTACAAGAGAATGTCAGCGGAACATAATGCTTGACCAAGAAAGTGCAATGAGTTTAGGGAAATTCCAATGATTACCTTTTGCTTGTTGCAAGTCCTATCTTGAACGAGATATGGGTAATCATCCTCGGTGTCTATACCGTGGTTATCAACGACAAACTGAAATGCATAGTCCATGAGTCCACCACCGCATCCATCGTTGTATGTCTTGTCACAGTCGACCAACTCTTGCTCAGACAGGCTCACAAGAGATCCTGTGAAGATCTTATTGATTCCTTCAATGGCCCCTGTGGCTGAGAATGACCAACAAGCCCCTGCAGAGAGCAGCAATGGCATTCAGCTCCGCATCAAAGCACTCGAGTTGCCTCCACAGATTGTCTCATCAGATGGAGAGACATGATTTCACCCGTATACAAATGTTAAAGCACATCAACCAAGTCCATACAACAAGGGAATCTTCACCCTGATCGGGAGAAGATTGACAGAATTGGACTCCTATCCACATGTCACATGACAATGCCTCTGAACTTTGTAGTTCTACTCCTAGCTACCTCCACCATTTTCAAAACCAAAAGGCCAACCGGAGCAATGAGAATTTTGAAAAACAACTCACATCAAGCCAAATTATCCTTTACTAATCGCACACGACGTAAATACATGAATTTTCAGCCCGTCAGCTAATAGGGTATCCAGTCACAGGTAGAACAAAGTGCGATCACGAAAACTTATGAACACAAAATCGTATTTGAATGTTCATACGTTGCACAAAGTCCAAAATTTGGTTGACTAGAAAGCACTGAAGTTAATTGAACCAATCGAAAACATGTTTCAACGTTGTCAATCTGCATCTGCGCCAAAATCTAACTGAGAAAGGAAATAAAAAAGCCGAAGTGCCAAACGATCATCAATCTCAACTCCCCCCGCCATTCACGACAAGGCAAATTCGATCACAAAACCGACCAAAACAGCGCCACTCAATTCACCGATCCATACCACAGCTTCCTTGATCCTTGACGCGCGTCACCGCTCCTTTATCCCTCCAATCAACCGACGAAGGAACGCCGAGGCCGGGCCCGGGCCCGGGCCCCGCAATCCGCGGCCGGCCGGCGTTGACTGCGGCCCTCGAGAGGCCCAGCCGGGACGACCTGAACTCTTGGTCGGTGAGATCGGCGAAGGCGTTGAGGGCGAGGGCGTAGGAGGAGCTCCCATTGCCGTTGTGGCGGGCGACGAAGTCGAGGTTGTCTCGGAACACCCGGAGCCTGTGGAGCTTCTCGCGCTCGGAGGAGTAGGCCTTGCCGTGCTCCTTGCACCAGGCTTCGAAGAGCTCCGACACGGGCGGGGTGGAGGAGAGGCAGAGGCTGGGGTTGACGAGGAGGAGGAGAGAGAAGAGGGAGAGACACAGAGTTGTGTAAGGATTGTTCTCCTTCATGGTCGGCCAGAGAGAGAGAGAGAGAGAGACAGAGAGAGAGACAGGGTGGCTTGGGGTTTTTTACCTCTTTGGCAGAAATGGAGTTCCTGGGAAAACGGAGAGCCAAAGAACGACACGCAAAAGTCCCAACTACCCGAGTTTCTATTGGTCAAAAGAGGAAATGAATACTTGCTTAGCCGCAAGAAGATGTCGCTGTTGATAATTTTACGGAAAATGACACGAATAGCATTTGAATTTTGATCCAACATGTAACGTACTTAATTTTTAATTTGTTTAACATGATTTCCTGAACTTTAGTTCCATGTATAATATCGTCTATGAATTTTTAATTTACTCAATATGATTCTTCAATTTTTTTTCAATCTGGTCACAGAAGGTGACCAGATTGAACAAAGGACAACATTGTATTTTGTCATATAGTATTTGCGAATAGATTGAACATGTACAAAAAAAATTCAATGATCAAGCAAATTAAAAGTTTATGAACGATATTGGAAATTGGATTAAAGTTCATGGACCACATTGAATAAATTAAAAGTTTATGAACAAGATTGCAGATTGGGCCAGAAGTTAGGGACTATTTGTGTAATTATCATAATTTTATAAGCCGCATGAATGTTATCATTGCTAGGGATAAATAACACCAAATCCGTACAAACAATTGTACGGCACGTAATTTATCGACAAGACTTTACCAACCATCGTTTTGATTTCAATACTTTCTTTTTAAATTCAGAAAATACATGAAAATGACATGCAAGCTAAAATTTAGGTATCAACAGTTAAGATTGTCGAAGTACTTTCTTGAATTTATGAATGCAATTTAGTTATTTTTTTAGGACATGATCGGGTGAAATTCCCTTTGTTTAACCATTACAATTTATATAGTTAAGAGTGTTTGGAAGTGGGAAAATTCAACTTGGGTGTCGATGCTACATTGGTGCAGCTTCCAGCGTCGATGATCAAAATACACTCCTTCCTGTTAATGGTGCAATAGGTTTGGAAAATATTCTTCCTTTGTTTGTCCGCCTTTGGATTAATTGTAGATTGTAGAGATCTCCTGATGATGAGCAATTCTCCTTCGTTTGGTTGCTCTATAATTTCATCTTCCTCCTCAGATTTGGACTCAATCTGATTGGCGTTTTGCGTAGCTTCATGAAGCCCTATGTTGATCTTTTCGATTTCTTGGAGAGTCATGACTTTTCGATTAGGATAATCGGCTTTAAAGTGTCCATAGCCATGCCACTCGAAGCATTTTCGAACACATCCACCAGCGGTCTTTGATAGACTTCATGGCCTTCTCTTTTCCCTTGTCTTTTGTAGATGCATTCTCGGCCTTGCTAGAACAAGCACCCTTAAAGAAGGATGTTCCACTTGTCGAAGATTTGGTCGACAATCCCTTGCCACGCTTCAGTTGTTTCCCCATCTTCTTGGCTCGTTTGAAAACATTTTCGAAAGACCAATAAGATTGAAGTTCAACCAAATTGGTAATCTCTCTGTTCAAACCACCAATGAAATGAGCGATGGTTTGCTCTTGCAATTATAGGATATAGCACATCAGAAGGAGTTGTTCAAACTCCCTAATGCAATTTTCAACATTCATTCCGCTCTACTGGAGGAAATTCATTTTGAGGAACATGTCTTGCTTGTAGTTGTCGGGTAAGAACCTCTTCATCATAGGTTTCTTGAGTTTCTCCCAAAATTGATGTGGCTTTTTCCATTGCGAACTCTTTAGTTCTTCAAGTTTTTCAGCCCTGGGAAGCATATTTTTGCAACTTAAGAGCAACAACCTTGCCACGCTTTTGTCCAAGTATGAATGGAAGTTGAATACTCGTTTGAAATCATGAAGCCAATTGATAAAGTCATATGGATTAAGGTTACCCTCAAATTATGGCACCTCCACTTTTACTTCACAATCATTCTCCTCATGCCTTCTTCTCCTTCAGACTCGGTAATCTGAAGCACTAAAGTTGCTTCTAGTGTCACTGGATTCGTCACTAGAGTTTTGGCGAGGATCCAGATCATCATGGCATGGTTGATTAATAGGGCGTATCGTTGTGGCTCCTACCTCGCCTAACTCTCTAAGAGGCTGAAGACTTGCTCCATTTGTTGATGAAGTTTCGTTATGGCATAATGTTGACACTTGATTTTTGGTCCATTTTTTTAAAATTTTCTTAAAAATCACAAAATTAGGATTATGAACCTTGGTCATGCTTAGGAACCTATTTCTAAACCAAAAATAATTTTTTTAGAATTTTCATGAATTTTTCCTGATTTTTTGTGGACCAAAATGAGTGAAAAATCAAGAAAAATACCAAATGGAACTAAAAAATTCCAAAAAAAAAAAATCCATTGGCATTATTTTAATTCCAATTTCATTACTACAGCTTCAATTTTGGAAAATCTCAGTTGGGGATATGTTTTTCCCAAAATTGGGTAAATTCATACCCTAATTGAACCAAAAATTCAATTGAGTCATTTTTAGTCATTTTTAGGCCATAGTGTCTTCGTAAAAATTGATTCTGCGACCTTGAATTGCATATTGGTCGGTCCAATTTCACAATTTAACAAAATAATTGAAAAACCTCAAAAATTAATTAAAAATTAGGGATTTTAAGACCCAAATTGGGAATCTTATACAATTTGAAATTTTTGAATAAGACCCATACCTTCCCTAAGGTTAATAAGCCATGGGTAATTCAATTTTGACATCAAATTTTCCTAATTAGGTCATTTGGGCACTGAATTGAAAAAAAAACCCTATTGATCCGAATTCAAATTTGGGAATTTTTGGGTTTAATTGCGACAAAAATTGGTACAAATCTCATATGCTGATGCAAAATGTGCTAAAAAATTCAATTTTTGGGTTAGATTTGGAAAATTGGGTCAAATTGGGGCTTAAATTTGCAATTTTGTTCAAACCGGGTTAGTCGGGTCTGACCCGACCCGACCCAGGACTTCATCCCCTCTACCCGACCAGCTGCTGCACTTGGGAAAAGAAGAAAAAACTTGCTCCGTCCCATCACTTTGCCGACTTACTTCGATCATTTTAGCATGTTTTAAATAGAATGGACAGCTGGATAATCCTTATAATCTCTAACCGATTTGGAAGTCGGTTAGAGCCAAAACCGACTCGTAAAGGGGGGACAAATATTTGGAAAAAGTGTTATCATGAGGAGGAGATACTCGACCGAATGAACAAGAGAGAGAGAGAGAGAGAGAGAGAGAGAGAGAGAGAGAGAGAGAGAGAGAGAGAGAGAGAGAGAGAGAGAGAGAGAGAGAGAGAGAGAGAGAAATGGATCGAAACCAAAGAGAGAGAACTAGAGAGAGAGGGTTAGAGGTCCCCTCACGAGCGTCCGGCGCTGCCCTAGACGGCGGAGCACCGACGAATCGTGAACCGGCTGAAAACTCCCCTCCTCATTTTAGCCGAACCGGCTGATCCTGTTGGCCTGAAACTGGAGCTTTTCTTGAAGAAGGTGTGACGGTGAACCATCCTGTAGCCTCCGTTCATCTCAGAATTTCCGTTCAGGCCTCCATTAACGAAAGTAAAAATGCTTAGTTGTCATATGTTACGTGTTCGGTATAATGTCTAAATGAGTGATCGAATCGATTCGTATGCATTTTCTAAAATTTTTTCGTTCCAGATTGCTTATTGGATATTGATTCATGTTTTAGATCCCGTGGTTTCTCATTTTTTGCATTTTGGATCGGTGAAACGAAAAACGCTTCGAGTCATCCATAAAAACTCTTTGTCGGAGCTCCTAAAACCTTACCGAAGTGTGATCCATGGCTATTGGCCAATCTAAGTCAGTTTTTCTTACTTCTTGATTGATGTTTGATTGCTAGAAACGATTAGGACACTCTGGATTTGATGAATTTGCATGTTGCACATGTTATGTTGTGTTATGGTTTCCAGTGATAAGTAGGGGACTTTAAGCTCGAAAATCAACGGCTTAGGAATGTTAAATGGCAATATAATGGGCATAAATGTGTAAAAGGACATTCAGTGAAAGTTTTGGATAGAATGGAATGGCCAGAATGTGGATGGAAGGTCACCGGAGATTAGGTTAAAGTGGCTACCTCGACAAGGTTAAAACTGAAAAACTAGAAAATTATGTCAAGTAAGAAAGTTTGAGCTTAAAAAATAATTGGCTTAGAGGTGTCCAATAGCAATAAAATTGGTATGGGTGTGTAAAGGGTTGTTCGGTGAAGGATTTGGACCGGTTGGGTTGGCCAAAATGTGGCCAGAAAGCCACCGGAGTGGCGGCCAAAGTGACGGCCCCGATAAGGCAAAACCAAGAAAAGTGCCCACAAAATGTTTGTTAAAATGCCTAAGTGGGGGTAGACCAAAACGACATCGTGCCCGCCGGAACGCCGGCTGGCATTGGCTAAGCCAGTTCGACTCGCTCGGACCGGTTTGAACCAGTTTGACCTGGTCCGGTTTTCAGCAGGAAATTTAAAAATTTTAAAAATTCAGAAAATCATAAAAAAAAATAGAAAATTCAGAAAAATCATAAAAAAATAAAAAAATTCAAAAAATCATAAAAAAATAGAAAATTCATAAAAAAATTCATAAAATCCTAAAAAAATTAGAAAACTCAGAAAGTGTAAAAAAAAATAGTTTTTGGGAAAGAGGAAATTCTCATAAAAACTTTAAAAAAAATCAAAAATTTCAAAAATTCACAGAATGGCTTAGAAACCTTGTGGCCACCTAGTTTAAGTGAAATTTGAATTTTTTGAAGTACCCGAGTAGTATTTTTGAGAACTCCTCAGTATTGAATGAATAAGCCTTTAGGGCTTTATTAGGGTTTTGGGTATTTTAATTGATTTTCATTTTAGAGACCATTTTAGGATTGCTGTGTTTGATTAAAATTGATTGAGCATTTACCCATTGATTGATTGATTTCTCCCTATTAGAGCGGTTAGAATTAGTAAATAGGCCTTACGAACTTACGTGGCACGTTAGACACTTCATATCATTTTAGGTTCCGAAAGGGCATTAGAGATTTCGATTCGGGATCATTAGCATAATCAAGTCTCATTACCCATGTAATCTCTA